CAGATGGTGTGGGGAGGCTGAGAGCAGCTAACAAAGAAATGAACCCATAAATAAATCTACAGTGACCAAGCATGATTAGAAAGAAACTAATAGTACAGTGGCATAATGTCAGGGAAAGCTCTTCAGGTTATGGGTCAGGGCATCCCTGGCCAATGGAAGAACAGTTAAGATCTGGGGAGGAAAGGACATGACCATGTGGAAAACTCATTCCTGAGAAGGAACTGGTATCTGTGAGAGTGTGAAGAGAAGGCTGAGGAATGGATATGAGGCCCAGGTTGTTGTGGTCAAGTGAGCCTGGAGACTGAGAAGGGTCTGGATCTTCTATGCAGAGAAACCAGTTAGCCGTTGATGCATTTGCAGCAGGTGAACAATGTGTTCTACATCATTTTAATAATCTTACTCCCAGCCCAGATGCAGGGATGTTGCTGTCAGACCCCCAGCATAGAGGACGAGAGCAGGCAGCAATTCCCTGTGCAGGTGCTCAGCAGTGCCAGGATCACCCCTACTTCTTTTCATGAGGCTGCACTGGAGAGGAAAGTAATGGAGTGGAGGAGGCTGTGTTTAGGGCAGCCAAAGAAGTCCAGACTCAGGAAAGGACTCAACATGAAATCACACTGAGTGGTGAATGACATAGGACAAGTAAATTGGGCAAGGAAGAGGATTCTAGATAAGGGGAGCAGAACGAGCAAACATTCAGAGGTCAGATGTGTGTATTATGAGAATAAAAGTAGATTTGTGTGATGGAGCAGGGAGTGCATATGGGTGAGGAGAGGGAAGTACAGGACATTCATGCAGCACACATAGGCAGAGAGAGCTGGCTAACGAGAATGTCTTGCAGAAGCTTGCCCTTCATCCCAAGGGCAAAAGGGAGAATCCACTGCAGGGATTCAGGTAGGGGTGGGAGTCGTAACCAGAGTTGTACTCTATGAGGGTCACTGAGATCAAAGTGCAATAAGCCTATTTGGAGGTGGCAAGATTTCAAGCAGCAGTTGAACTAGAGAAAAGTTTGCTAGTTTTAGGGATGTTTAGAGGAAAAAATAAAGTCCTGATGAAAGATTAAATTGGGGATACGAGAGAGTCAGAAATGGTACTTGCTCTGACACTGCCCCCACCCTCGTTGTTTAAGCAACTGCTCAAATGACACTTGCTTTGATTAAACCAAGGAGCACAGAAGGGGAAGCAAGTCTATCAGAAAAGGTGATATGTGTCATATTAAACATTCCAGTTTGGTTGCCTTTGAACATTCATGAAGTCTCTGATGGTGATTAGATACTTGAGCTGGAACTCCTTAAAAGGGAGTGCACCAAAGATATGCATGTATATTGGGGAATCTTCAGCACTAGATGGTAACTGGTGCCATAAGAGAATGGAGGAATCATCCAAGGGAACATAAAAGGCAAGAAGGGGCCAAGAATAGGTCTCTGGAACAACTCAGATCTTTAAGGGACAAGCAGAGGCATAGAGCAGCTGATCAGGAGGTAGAAAACTCAAGAGGGTAGAGTTGTGGACAGAAAGAAAAGGAACTAATAAAAAAGAAGCAGGCAAGTAATGTAAAATGCAGAATGTGATCCACATGTAACATGGTTTACAGTGGGGTGTACAGTGGAATAGAGCCAGCGGAGCACAGACTTCACTGGATTATGAAGTAAGTGACTGGAGTGCAGAAGCCTCTTTTCCAGGACTTTCTCTTGCCCCTACCAAGGGTATAGATGTCTTTAATCATAAACATATTTGAGTTTCTATTTAAGAATATTTCTGGGTAAACTATGAATCCAATGAATTAAATGATTTATGGAGGGGGAGAGAACCTTCAGAGATACTGTCGGAGAGAAACTTTAGAGAGATACTGTCTGCATTTAAGATTACTAACAATCATCTTTTTTAATAAAAATCTCCCCTGACTCTTGAGTTCTTTTAAAGCTAAAGATGAATTTTCTATAAAGGCAAAGGACAGGGATCTATTTGTCAATCACCTAACACTGTATGATTCTCATGGCTCTGTATTTAGTCTTCTGAACACCCTGTAAGGTAGAGCGTTTATCCTCAGTTGCAAAATAGTGAAATAGACAGTTTCAAAGAGGTTTTCTGTACCTACTTACCCAACTGGTACATGGTGAAGTCACTTTATGAATGTTTAGATTTTTATTCATTTATTTTACTAGTGTATGTTTCAAATACATAATAGTCCCATTAACTTTGGAGGGTTGGTATACATACACACATATATTTCTTTGTACAGATATATAATATCCTGAATTTTTTGATTCCTTTACTTTCTCGTCCTTATCCTCTCCTGGTCCACTCCTCCACCTCCAAAAAGTCTTCATGGTACCCAATTGAACTTGCTCAGCACGAATCTGTCCCTCTTAAACAAGATATATGATCCTGGAGTTCATGAAAGGTGAAGGAATGATCCAGGTGGGATTGTAGTTCCTGTATGACTCCCTAGTTAAAAGAAGGCAGACTGCCATTTGAGAGGGAATTGATAAAACATACAAAATCAAAATGAGACAAAGTCAGAACCAAAAAGATATCATGCAAGATTAAAATTACGTGCATGATGATGTGCATTAGTTATTTTAATGTCTTCCAAGCGCATTTTATTTTGAATAATATACTCAGATAGCACACATGGTAAGGTATAATGAAAAAAACATGTAGAGGAATGGCTGGATCCAAAGAATAAACATGCAGCTGCAGAAGTAAGGAGTTAAAGGGGTAAACATATGCCCCATCCCCCAGGGATCTCATTAGAACATGAGTGATCATATACGTAGAGGTCAGATGAATCTCACTATTTGCAAAGACCCACAGTAGATGAGACAATGACAAATCAATAATAATTAGGCCTGTAGGTTCTTATTGACTCCGATGTGTAAAACCTGCTCTGATATTCCCTGAGAGGCAGAATGAAAAGATGTATAGACATGTGCTTCTTTTTTTTTAATACCTTTCCTCTAAGAGCTATTTCCTTTAAGATGCTTTTGTGAGGTGGCAGGTGGCTAGGTTAGTGCAGGCTCTTGGCTTGGGCTACAAAAAGATGTCCTCAAAGCCTCTGTTACAAATGTTGTTCCTGTTGGGCCAGGAGTAGAGAGAGCTAGAAGACAGAAAACCAGGGTATGATCATATTCTTGCCCTTATCTTGTTCTGCCCTATCCGCCCTGGGGGCCTGGAAGGATCCTTTCATAAGACAATAATATCCTAAAATAGAGTTTGAGTGTGGGGCTTTGACAAATACTTTCTGAGTTGAGATACATAAAGCAGATGGCGTCAGAATCACACAGCAAGTTTCATGTGGACCCAGTCCTGCCTTGGCATGTTCTCCTTGTGGAGGGCTATAGTAATACTGCCTTTCTTGGGCTGTGACGGAAGGGCTACCATCTCCTCAGGGAAGGGAGCTACACCCTGTGATGGTGAGCCTTGTTCAGTAGTAGCTTATTCCTCCTGACATGATCAGAGAGAGGATTTTATAGTAGGCATAGGTGTTACAGCAAGAAACAGAGACTGTCAGTAGATAGGGCTGTCTTTACCCTACAGAGCATACATCACACATCGGAGTCAATAAGAACCTACAGGCCTAATTATTATTGATTTGTCATTGTCTCATTTACTGTGGGTCTTTGCAAATAGAGATTCACTTGTGAGCACAGCAGTTTTGATTCTCTACACTTTCTATATAGTACTTCCATATGAAATTTGCATTTAATAAAAGCGTTTCATTGAAAAAGAGAGGAAAGAGAGTTTGAAAACCAATGTTTTACTTCTTGTTTCCTTACACTTAGTTTAGAAAACTTGCAGAAACTTGGTGGGATCCATGGGTATGTTCCCAGTATCATAAAACTACAACTAGAAATCATATAAATATTATATGAGGTATTAACCTCCCTTGGGCCTTGATTTCCTATTCTGCTGTTATTCAAGCCATGCTTTTAGCCTTTAAAGCTGTATTCCAAGGATAACAGCCAGAAGTAGAGAGATGGTGACCTCTGTTTTACCCACTTTCTTTTGAATCCTTAGTTGAGAGCTTTGGAAGACATCATCTTTAGGAATGGCAAGGTTGACCAGCTTCAGTCTGTGTGCCAGGCAGTAATATTTAACCCAGCCAGCTAGTCATCCTTCACCAATTTTATGAATGGGGTAGTTGGATTCAGAGAAGCTAGTGTGTGACCCATTGATACAAGTAGTATCAATATCTGAATCTGGCACTGTCTTGATTCCCAAGCCCATCATCTTCTGTCTTCCTCTCACATGAAGAATGAGGGCTAGTCTCATTCCTTCATTCTTTACATGAGAAAACTAAGGCTTAAAAAAGAAAAAAAACTTATGTAATGCCATGGCATGAGTTAGAGGTGGAAATCAAGTCTTTTAACTCCTGATCCAAGCTTTTCCTGATCCATTCATGACATCCAGTCACTTACTTTACCAAGTTCCTATTTTGAATTCAGGAGCATACATTTGTTTCCATTTGTCATATCATCATCATTACCTGAGGAAGACTGATGTTACTGTACTGTACTCTACAGTTCCCAGAATGTTGCATCTTAACATATACAGTCTTTGATCTTCACAATAACTGAGGTATCTATTTTTACAGATAAGAAGAGGGTAGTTTCAAAGGTTTGAATATGGTTTTCTTTTTTTTTTTGGTTTTTGGTTTTTCTCCGGTACCGGGAACCGAACTCACGACCTTGCACTTGCCAGGCAGGCGCTTTGCCACTGAGCTAAACCCCCAGCCCCTTGAATATGTTTTTCATGGTTACCTGCCTATCAGGAGTAAGGCCTTTCCCAGATCTGGTCTTTTGACTCCAAATCTTTTTGTTTCCTAGTAGGACATACCAATAGAGTGTGATTTGAGAGTGCAGTAGACTGGCTTCTCTAGGGGTAGTTTCTTTGCTGCTTACTTTCCTAGGCTGATACGGAAATACAATTTTTTATCCCTACAGAACAATTGCCTCCTGACCCTAGCCCTTTTCTAAAAACAAAATCTACTTTTCTTGCAGATGCCAGAGTGTATATGCATATTTGAACAGTCACCTGGATCTGATTAAGAAGGCTCAGCCTGTGGGTTTCCTCACTGTTGATTTACATGTTTGGCCAGATTTCCATGGCAACCGGTCTCCCTTAGCAGATCTGACTCTAAAGGGCATGGTAAGTAACAGCCTGTCCTTGCACAAAGGTGAAGGCAGGCCAAAGGGCTACAAAGTTTGGAAGAAGCAAAGTGAGGAGAGAAAAAAAAAAAAAAAAAAAAAAACTAAAACATAACAGACCACTAGCACACTGGCCTCAGAAGAAGCATTGCCATTGTGAAGACCCTTGCTGCTCCAGGACAGTCTGCTGAAAGTTCTCATTGTGCCTGAGCCATCCTTTGAGCACACGCAGCGTAGTATATGTTCAGCTACTTCTGCTGCTTTGTCCATGGCAGCTGGCAGTTGTGCCTATGCAGTTTGCATATTTACATCAATTGCTAGTCATGTTTGTTATCTCTACCTCCAGGCCACCTGGTAATTCCGTGGTAAATATTACTGTTTATAGTCTCTCTTGCAACGGCTGCAGTGTTGGAGACTCTGAGGTAGGGCTCTCAGAATCTGTACCAGTGCTTTTAGGGTTTCCAAATAAACTTTGATAACAAATAATTACAATTAATACCTTATAGTGAGTAGTAAATTCTGATCTTAGTAGGCTTTCAGGTCACTCCCAGGGTAGCAATTCTGGGCCTTCCTAGAGAGTCCAGGATGAACTTGGTGGGCAAGCTTGCAGCCATCTAACCATTGGCTTAACGGGCCAGGAGGCTTGAGGTGCCTGGGAGCACTCTGACCATCTAGAGTCATATTTGAGAGGAAATGAAACAGGTTAAAGCAAGAGCTGAGTCAGAATTTCAAGGGGCAAGGTAAGAAGCCATGACTGCAAAATCCAGAAAGATATCAGAAAGTTTAGAATGAAGGGGAAGTGTATATAAAGACCACATAAGTGACATAAACCACACTTGCATGTGTAAACATCATATTGTCTCTCTAGTATAAGAAACTGAAAGAGTGAATAAGATCCAAAAGGTACAATAGATACATTGAAAAGAAAAGAAACTACTCAAAAGAAACTACTCAAAAAGAAACTACTCAAAAAGAAACTACTCAACAATCTTGTGTATATATATATACACAAGATAGCTAGCATAATTGTACTACTAATTTCTATTAGTTCATTGAAAGGAACAGTTAGTGTTTATATTGTTTGATTAATTTTGCATGCCTGTGTCTGGTAATCTGAGCAACTAGTTTGCAGATAACAACATGCAATATAATAACCATTGTTAGTTTCCTATCATCTTGTTTTGAAATTTGGGGGGGGTGGGTATTGGGAATTGAACTAAGTACCTCCTGCTTGCCAGACAGGTGCTTTACCACTGAGCTAAACCCCCAGCCTTGTTTTGAAATTCTGTATCATTTCTATTGTTTTTTTCTTCTGTTTAAAATATAAAAAGATCAACAAGAAGATTTAGACTTCATTTTCATTACCTAGTGGACATAATCAATGTTGCTAATAAAAGAGAGTTGTAGTGAAAAGAACAAAAAATTATGCATAGCAAAAGTTATGTTTGTTATGTTTGTCTGCAGTCATGAAGCATGCTTCTAAGACAGACAACACTGGAGACAGAGGAGTGTCCAGAGGTCAGTGTGGCCATGGAAGCCTTGTCTTCAGATAACCAACTCTGTATGCAGAGGGTACGGGAATAACACATTCTAGAGAGGTACACGTGTAAGTGTTTTGATGAGACAAATACTAAAGAATTTAAGAAGTGAAGAGGCTTCACCATTCTTCAGATGATCCTAAAGCAGAGCAGGGCTGCACAGTAAACGATCATAGCTCTGGATCTGCCTGAACCTGTGGCCTCGTCTTGCTAATATCTGTCATAAGCAGCCTCAGTACCCAGCACGGTAGACACTATGTCTCCCTGTGGCTTTTAACTGTTTCTTAAATCCAAACCTAACTTGCAAAGACCTAAAAATTACCATCATAAGTATATTTTAGTAAAGTTGCCCAATGGCAGATTGTAATTCCAAAGGAATCTGTGGAGTACTTTGAGGAATGCCCATCTCATATGAATAAACTTGTTACCAAAAGAGATTTCTTGCATTGAGATATATGCCCAATTATATCTAAATCTGTCTGTTTGCTTTTTAAAGAAGTTTTACTGCTTCACTCAGAATCACTCTCCTTAAATCCAATTTTGAATAATATCAGAATAATGCCCCTGAAATTCTTCTGTAATCATGTTACTGTATATCCTTTTGCCAGAATTTACAGCTTTATTAAAGGTTATATGCTAGAAGCTACCATGTTACTACATGCTGTATCTCTTGCTAGTCTTATCTCCAGTACCCATTCAGTAAATATTTATTGGGAGTCTACTGTGTGCCAACCAGTGCTACAGATATAACTGGGCTCAAAAATGCCTCCATTCATGGGGCAGGTATAAAGGGCACTGGGAAAAGGGTTTGATAAAATATTAATAACAACTAGACTTTGTTAAAATTAGTAACAACTAGGATAATCTCCATATAGCAAGAACCATGTACATTTTGGCTTCTGAATCACTTCTCTGGGCACATAATAAGTGCTTAATTATAATCTGTAGGCAACATGGCAATAATAAAGAGGTTATTTATTGCTCTAGGAGAAAATAGACATATGAACAATTTACTAACACCAAATGGATTGGATAGTTACTTACTCTTACTATCCATAAATATTTAGTATTAATATTAATGTCCAAATAAATTAAAATAAGCTACCATCCAGGAGTGGGGGCCATTTCTGTAATCCCAGCTCTCAAGAGCATAAAGCAGGAGGATCCTGAGTTCAAGGCCAGCCTCAGCTATATAATGAGACTCTTTCTGAGTGAAATAACATAAAGTAAGCTTTTAGGTACTGTTATATTTGAGGGGGATCGAAAGAATAATGAGACACAGTTTCACCCATCAGGAATATTGCTGACTTTAGGGGCAGACAGAAGAAATGCATTGACAAGGTGAGGGAAGCTCTAGGTGTCACTCAGTGTGCGTGCATGAGGACTGCACAACAGAGTCTTGGTGGTCATGAAAGGCTTCTGGCAAGAGGAACATTGACTTTGAGTGAAGTAGGGAAGAGTGTTTAGAGCCAAGGGAACCACAGTATTTGCAGTGTGCTAGCAGGGAAAGAAAGCTTGACATGTGAATGTCTATGACTGAGCTTCTTGTTTCTTTGTCTAATCTATGACAGATTGCAGTTAGTGTTACGTCTTAGAAATAAAAAAGAAAATGTTTTCCCAGAGAACCTCTGGACTGCCTGTACTCCTGCTCCAGCAGCAATACCCTCTTCTATTTCTGCACTGTCCTCTCCACTGCCTCTCCTCTTACCTTTGGGAGCATGCACCCATTTCATACACAGAGTACCTACTGTGTGCAGCCTATGCTAAGCCCAGAGAATACAAAGACAAAAGTATGTATTCCAAGTTCACATGAAAAGGAGAAGCCCAGGGGCTGGGGATTTAGCTCAGCAGCAAAAGCGCCTGCCTGGCAAGCGCAAGGTTGTGAGTTCGGTTCCCGGTACTGGAGAAAAACCAAAAAAAAAAAAAAAAAAAAGGAGAAGCCCATTACTGCATATTTGTGTGTGTATGTGTGCGTGTGTGTGTGTGTGTACATCATTATTGCATCATGTGCTCCTTGTACCATGGAATAGACATCTATCCAAACTGAAGGAAGTGCTCAGTCAGTGTCTCTGCTTGGGTCTTTTTAAAAGTATCATCTGTCTGGTAAACCCAGATGCAGCCTTTCTCTACTTTACTGGAAAATACCTATGAAGATGTTAAAAAGACATAAACTCATTGCACCCTTGAAAATTAAGATGATACTCCACTAGGAAAACTAGATATTTCCAAAGAGAATCTGGGAAGACTTTGCAGAATCTGCAAGACTGATGCAGCTTGTTTGATAATCATAATATAGGACATATGAACAAAATATTCCTCCAGCCTAGTGTGAGCTTGGACATCTCCACCTTGAAAACATCTGTCCTTTCAAGCCTAAACATCAGCGGGTCATCCTCCTTTCTACTGCTCATGGCTTGGTTTTATACTGTTGGCTGTTTTGTGAAGCAGGTAGGAAGTTTACTTCTTCAGATTTTTTCTCCCACATGAGCCACTCACTCCTTTCACTTTAATCTATTTGAAAACTGCCACACCAAGAATCCACCTGAGCCAGAGAGTGAGTCAGGATGAACAGTGAGGGCTTTCATTTTAAGACTCCTGCATGGAACTCTGCTTCTGGGCAAAGCAGGAAGAGCCCTGGCAGCTCTGTGGATTTAGAAGGAGAGTTGTTTGAGGGTTGGGGAGAAAGCCAGGCAGTGATGATCTGCTTCATTCTCACCATGCTGCACGAACAAAAACTACTGTGCTCTGGTAATCAGCACGTAGTCACAGATCCTAAGGGGCAGATCCAAGTATGCCATGACTGGGGCTGAGAGTACTGAAGATGTACAGCTCTCTAGTTAGAGTGTGTTTTAAAAACTAGCAGTAAGTCCTATAGAAATGGAAAAAAGCATTGCATACAAAGAGAAGAAATGTCATTTGAACATTTAGTGAAAGTCCTCTTGAAAGTATTTACTATTGAAAACAAAAGAAAGTATTAGCTAATACTTAACATATTCAAGAGGGTCCTTAAAGACATGTCTTTGTGAGATAGAGCAAAAGTTTGCAAGAAGAATGAGCAGAGATGAATGGACAGGTGTGAAAAGAAAGGGAATGGCAGACAACTCTGAACACAGTAGTGGAATTAAAACCCCCACTGGAAGCAAGAAAATGTGTAATTCTCACTGAAGAAAATATGATCAGAATTGTCATAGATGTAGAACGGACTTTAAATTTAGTCTTTTTGAAAGCATTGTGAGGAAATGGTCTGGCTTGTTTACTTTCTTAATCTCACTAATGCCTGGCACCAAATAATTGCCTTATAGTCAAATAGGTATTGTAGCTTTTAGTTGCCAAGTGAGGAATAGAAGCTGCTGCCCAAGGTAATGCCAAGCTAATGCCAAGAAGGAGGAGGACTGAAACTGAGCTCTGGATCCTGGCTTCATGAGTTTGCCTCAACTCCTGACCTAGACTTTGTGAGATACAT